CATATATATGTAAATTAATCTAAATAGGTGTATATATGCATGCACAGGCACTATTTAAATACATAAACACATATAAAAATAAACACCTATAAACATAAAAAGGCCCCCGCCCATCAGTCTCTGCCATTTTCCAGGCTGCTCCTGAAACCCTCTGTTTTCAGCCCAAAAAATGGACCCGGGTGACTGCTCGTTTCATACGGTGCCTTCTCAGGAGCTGGATCCCCCTCCCCACCTCGTCAGGGCCCTGCGCTTCTGCTGATCCCCACCAAGACAGGGACATCTTCAGGGGTTTTCTTTTTAGAGCGGTATTTATCAAGCCTTAGATTTTTGAGATCCGGTTTTTGAGCCAAGAACAGCCTTTTTGAGGGAGATTTCGCACAGCCCTTTAGATACACCTCCCCAGGGAGATTTTCTTCAGATATCTTCTATTTCTGCCTATCAGCTCTTCTCCTTTCGTATCTTCTCCAATACAGATTTCCCCCCCCCCAATGTCATTATAAATTTTAATTAATTTGCAGCCAAGAAATCTGCCCACTTAAAACAGAATCAGCTAAATGCCTCAAGTAAAAGTTATGTTAGGTGCTGCGCTTGCTGCCTTGCTTGGCTGTGGGTCTCCGAAGCGTAGTAATCCAAGGATAGCAAGTGCTGAGTTGTTTCCAAAATGTCTTAATTTGGGAAAACCGCCTGGAATGCCACCCTGTGAATTAACACTCAGTGCTAGCGACCACTTTGATGAGGCAACATTGGTCATGGCTGAGGCACATCACCCATACCATGGGAGCAGACGTAGGATTTCAGCATTGTGGTCTGGTCACAGTTTGTGAGCAGCAATTAAATTCAGCATTTCTGGGCTTATTTTGAGACAGAGAATGATGCAGAGACCCTTTCACTGTACCCTCCTGCTCCCCCCAGAAAAGAGCCTTCAGCTGTCATCAACAAGCAAAAAAGCCCTAGGAGTTTCTAATACCAGCTTATTAGCTGCTGCTAACATAAAGAGGGTTGGACCTACAATAAATATAGTAATACACACCTGACTTCATGTGTCTAAAAAGAAATCAAAACATAGAAGCAAGTTAAGTGACCATCTTGTGTTTCAGCTGGGCTAAAAAGCTTTTCTCTTAAGCAAGAAGGCTGCATTGTTTCCCATTGCAAATTTTCTCTAAATTAACTGTTCTTAAAATCTGCTTGCAGCAATGGGAACAGGCTTCTTCATGTAGCTTGTTTGCTCTTGAGGAAATAAAAGCTCTAGAAAAAAAAATATTGTCTCTAGAACACATAATTTATGGCTACCTTGATGTGTACCACACAGGTCCACCCAGCTCTGTGCCGGAGCAGCAGAGGCATTGGTAAGATGCTGTAGACAAAAGAATTTTCCATTCGCCATACATGGATTCATTGCTGCTTATCCAGCATTTAACAGATCTGAACTGCATTTAAAAACAAGAAAGTAGAGGGTTTTTCTACCCCCCCAAGCACAAAACATACTTGAATATGTTAATTTGAGCTTTTTAATGTATATACAAATCTTTTAGACCAGTCACAATTTCATTGAGTATATACTGTATTTACAAAAATTACAATAATTTAGTCAAACAGTAAACCTGAACATTGATAAGCTCTGTCACTACCAGATATGACAAGAAATCTTTTTATTAGTTAACTATTTTGATATACATATGTCCTAATACTTTCATGCATCCATAAAAACATTAGGGATGGACGTAACCAAAGCTGAAGTAGGGTAGGGTTTCTTTTGGTAGATAAAGATTAATGATGGATTTGTGTTTTGTGAACGTATGAGTATCCAGATTTATGTGCCATGACAAACTCAATACAAAGCTAACGTAGTTTTCATCATTAAAAAAGTACATTATAGTAATGAGATCCTTTTTATTATATAGGCATAGGTCACAATATCTACAAATGTGAATGAGAAACAATAAACCAATAAATCACAGGAACATGATTCACATTCCAGTTATCTCTTTAAATAAGACAAGCACATACTGGATCAAAACATTAATAAATAACATCCAGTTTGTTACTATTCTCTTAAGGTCTTTTATATAAAAGGAGACCTATGTGTTGGTTTCACATTTTCAATTAATGGTGGTAAATAATGGCCCAATACAACAAAAGGATGACTTTTATACAGAAAGCAATGTACTTTGACACGCTGGCTTTGCAGTAAAGGTTTTGCCACTTGAAAATGTAGGTGCAACAAGTGGATTGTCTTCAAAAACCACCAGCTTTAAAGACTCCCATCAGATGGCAACCTGTTCCTTAAGCAGTAAATACAAAGGATTTCCTGCCCATCTTCTGAATATACCTACCCTTTCAAAGCTCAAATACAGATACAACACCTTGGGAAATAAACTGCTAGCTTTAGTTATTCTACAAAAGAATGCCAGAATTTGGGGTGAAGAGTGTAACTTGCTGTTTAACCAAGAAAGATGCTTCAGCTTAGGATCAGAGATATTTCCTTGTGATATTATTGCTTTGGTCCAATATAAATTTCTAAAGATAATCAATTTGCACTGTATTTACCCCAAAAATCAGACCCGGTCCACAGATGTCTACATGACAGCTTGCACACCATGATCTGAAAAGTGAAGTCGCAACAGGTTGCGTTCTGCCAAGAGCCTTTTCCAAGTGCTCTGGAGCTGATAAAGGCATAGAGGTGATACACGGGGGCTGGAAAAAGTCTTCTGAATCCTCAGGAGGGGAAGCGTTGCCTACAGACCGGGAAATTTCTAAAACTGTTAGTTTTAGTTTGTTGAGGCTGCTTTTGTCTGATGGTTTCAAGCTATTGGTGAGAACCTCATGGGAAATGCAGTACGTGCCCATTCCTCACTTTTACAACTGTGGATTCACCCTTCCCCCCCAACTCCCTGTTCCCCCAGAACTGCTGTTTAAACATCAATTACTTGCTGTTTTCTTTAAAAGATTCTTGCTCCATAACGCTGAGGAGTTTCTTCGGCACATTTCACTGCCGGACTGGGAGGTGAAGGACAGTATTAACGCGTAAACCAGCAGTCAGCTGCCACACTCATCTAACCCGGGATTCAGCTTTGTCTCTAGTCAGGCATACTACACGAGATTAGCAATTAAACAGCAAATGGTGACTGTTAGAAGTGTGCCTAAACCACATCTGCGCACTTAAATTTTGAGAAAGTTTCATCCAAATCTAGAAAGAAAGTATACCGAAGTTTGGGCTTCACCGCCAGTTATTGAACTCAGCTGAAGTGTTGCCGTATCACATATCACAAAAAAAGCAGGAAATTCACCAGCAACACGGTGTTGGAGACAACAATTCCACCTTCACCCAGAATGTATTCTCTCGCCCCACTTGAATGAAAGAAAAAAATAAAAAATAAAAAAAATAGAAAAGTTGCAAGAAACTGTAACCCCACGGCTCTCATAGGGCAAGCCAGGTGGCTAGAGTTCCTCCGAGCTCAGGATTATCGATACAAGTCTAAGGAAACCTTTCTCTTGTTCTTCATGGTAAGTATTAGGCTCTTAGTTTTCTGAAACTTCCGAATTTCCAGCCAGAGCTTGGTTGATCTGTGACTTTTGTGACAAGAGACTATATAAGCACTAGCACAGGTCTGCAGTGGAGACTGAGAAAATACCTAATACAAGGGTTTTTGTCCTTGGTTTTCAAATTCTGACCAGGCATCATTTAGCTCCATAAATATCATCTTTGCGTATTGTTCATATGGCTGGCCAGTAGCCTGGAATAAAAACAGAAAGAGGCATATCACATCTACCACAGACTGCAGAAGTCCTACATCTGAGCAGCTGGATTCTCAAGCAGTTATTCACTTTCCACAACTGGTTTTCACCCATTCTTTGACAAGAGTAACCTGCTGTTGAGGGCTGTTTACAGCAGAATTTCTTAGCTCTTCTGCTTCTCAGAGCGGATAACCCCCCAAGCGTGAGAAAGCACCGCACTCCCAAGAGCAAAAAATTTAACACAGGCTTTGCAAGAGGCAAGAGCTGCCACCTGACAGCTCCTTGATAAAAGCAGTATTCCTGTCTCTGGGCAACCCACATCTCCAAGCCTTGCCCACTGCCCTGAAACTCTTAGGGCCTCAGTTTCCTCGGAAGTGGGAGCCTCGTCGTCACCATAGGGTTTCCCCAGACAGCATCGTTGCTCTCTGGTTGGCAAGGGTAAGCAGCAAGACCACAAGCTGGATAATCAGATAGCCTGATTCTTCCACTCTAGAAGTTTGATTTTAAGACCTCTCTCCTTTGATATGCCTTTATCACATTCTCATCTCCTTTAGCAGGCACAATATTCTGGACTGCTGTTCACCACCAGGATGGATTAGAGTCAAAGAGAGGGTGACAAAAGCTGAAGAGCCGAATCTCTGCTGCTTGGAGCAGCACGTACCAAGCACGGTCTTGGGGCTGGGAGTGGTTAGAGTTCTCACCTTTCAGAAACCGGCAAAAATCTTGAACTACTGCTTCCTACAAAGCTGTTTGCACTAATGAATCAAGAAATCACTTTTGACACTTTATAATTAAGAGAACAGTGACAATTTCTGAACAATGTCAAACTAGGAAAACCTTACCTTGTCAGGATGAACGACAAGCACAGCCCGCCGGTAGACCTTCTTCACTTGCTCTGGAGTGACAAGATCTGCCATACTAACAGGTTTCCACTTGGTCTCCCCTGCCCATAAGACTGTATGCATTGTGGACAGCAGGGCTCTTATATTTCTCTCCTTCCCTTCAATCCATTCCAGCACCTGGAAAGAAGAATGAGAGTCTCAGTTTATGCCTTACATTACATATTCCGTTAGGAAAAAGTTTCTTCATTTGAATAGCACTGACTCCAAGGATCACCTTAGATTTCTTTCCAAACTTTAGAAAGCCTTCAGAAGATATTTGTCAGTCTCTACTTTTTCATTAATTTTTAGATCCCTGCTTGGAAGTTAAGACAGACCTTGAACAACATCCCTGCTAAAAATACTGAGTTGGTAATTATTATGAACAGTCATTAGATGGAAGAGCCAAAAGATAAAGCAAATGTTTAACTGTGTGGCTCTTCAGCAAGCTGAGTTGCACACCTGAAGTAAGCTTGACTAGAACTCTGCTGTGGATGTATATCTTCAGTGCATGTTGAGAGTTAAGTCTTGTAAAGACTCATGTTGAAGGCTGGCTTCAATATAGATCGTTTGAAGCCCTAAGTCAGAAGCCTCAATTCTTTCCACGTGCCTATTTGCTACCTGCAATCCAGCAGCCAAATCAAGCAATAGGTAGTCCACTTTCTCAGATGATGTAGTCCTCCTTAGTGGTTGCCATCTTAGCCTACGGCTCAGGAAGGGGAGGAGGAAAGGGAAGTAAACGTGAAAGCCAAAGCATAAAAAGATTTAATAGTTCCAGGCTGAAGTGACTCAACAAAATAAAATGCAGAGCGAAGGGAATTGAATTGGGAAGGGAGAATCAGCTGGGTGCTTCAGAGATTTGGCAGCTTGCTGGGGGGAAAATGTCACACATATTAAGTAGTGCCATCTGAATCGCGGAGGTTGTGTAGCTTATGGACTGAGAAAACTGCTGCCCACTTGATGGCCCGACAGCTGTCCAGCTTGGTTATGAGTGACTGACGTTGGTGTTCAGCATGGCTGCTGGCACACACTTTCCAAAGGTTAAAACACTTCGACAAGGTTAAAAAAAATTTTAGTTTTTAAAAAATTCCCTCATTCTGTTTTCTAGAAGTTTGCTTAGCTTTTGCTTCAGCTTCTCCTCTCAGTTCTGAATCCTTCTGTAATTATAGTCTATGGTTTCATATTTCAAATGTAGAGCAGGACAGACTCAATTTCCTTCCCCTCCCAACAGATCTGTAGTTTGGCAATTTACTGAGGAGAATTCTAGAGCAGGCAAAATTAATGAGACAGTGGATTATTTCAATGAGCTGTGCCTGCTAATCAGGGCTGGAGTGATGTGGAAGACCAGCAGCCCTGGCAGTAATGCTGAGCAAGCCACTGTCTACCGCAGCCTGGTTTAGGACAGAAATGTAACCTTGGAGCTTTAAATCTCTTCCAAAGGATGTTCACATCTCCAGGGAAGGCAGGAGAATTTATTACATGAACAAACAGCGAGTAGATCTCACTTTCTGCCCTGAGGCAACCTCACCCTAGGGATAACATCCCTCATTTCACCAACACCTGGCTTTGGCAGAAGGACTGGCAGAAATGGTCACGGCTCCTTTGTCTGGTTTATTTGTAGGAAGCTATTTCAGAGTAGACTCCTTACAAACTTACCACTTTTTCTCAGTAGTATCTCTCATTCTGATGAGATGGGGAATATCTGGAAGAATCTTCACCAACACCCACAGTTTATGGCTTTGCCTTTGTGATCACACAAGCTCACTGCTGTCTGGCACGCGAACGGGGAGCACAGCAGTTTACGGCGCTATCACGTTTAGACCCCTGCTTTATGGAAAGCAAGCATGGGAGACAGCACGCGGTCTTTGGGATCCAGCAATGCTGGGGAGGCTGCACATTAAATCGAGGGCTAGAACGGGAGGGGGGCTGCTGAAACTACACGATCTGCCCGATTTGCCGAGCTGCCTCTCACACGGGATGGCTGGTGGCTTGCTGCCCGCTCCGCCTTTGAGGGGCAAGGCTTCAAGCAGCCTCCAGCATGATGAGAACGAAAGACGCATTGAATGATTGTAAGAGTGAACAAGAATATCGCTTACTTTTAATTTTTCAGGGTCCATCTCCTTAGCCATTTCTTCTTTTCTCATCTCAGCTATTGTTTTGGGGCCCTTCTTGTCCTTGTGAGCATTAAAACCTTGACCAGATAATAGATCTTCGAAATCTGCAGACACTTTTGGTTTTGAATCTTGAAAAGCAAAATGAAGTTGTTACCACAAGGCAGGTTTATTTCACACTGCTTTTCTACCCAAGCCACCCCCCCACTTATCACGATAACCTCCCAGTGCTAATGAGTGTGCGCGTTCTCACAAGACAGGTATAGGCTAATGTTGCTTTTGAATTATTATTATTATTGAAGCCCATTTGGAAGACAGGATGTCCTAAATGTTAGCGTGCTTTAGAGTCTAGGACAGGACAACTGGTGTTGAACTTCACATATCATCAGGTGATCAGCATGACTGGCTTGCTTAGAGCCTAACTTGTTAAGGTGTTTGAGCATTCAAGCAACATTAGAAGGAGTCAACCTTTTGGATGCTGAACTCTGAAAAGCTTACCAACATTAGCTGGTCCTTTCCCACGCTCGTTTTGTGCTCCAGGCATCGCTGAGAAGCTGACGTTGTAGTTGGGCTTGTTCTGGGGAGAGGCGTGCGGCATGCTTGGCTGGGCTTTGGGCTGCGCCTGCTGCCAGCCAACAGGATACCACCTCGCCTTCCAAAAAGGGAACCTAAACAAAATCCCCCAGGCAGCTGGCTTCTGTTTTCAGCTCTGCCACGAACTTATTTTTGCAACATCAAGCAAAGCCCTTCAACTTCTCAGTCACTTCTCCGTCAGCTGCTTAAAAGGCAAAATCTGCCTTTGAAGATCGCCCAGGAATTGGAGCAGCAGCTCGTTGGGGAAAGGCAGGGAAAGCTACAGGCAGCTACCTGGGAACCAGAGCTACTGTGTGTTATGGTGGCAACACCAAGTTCACCTATCCTGAACTAGTACCTCCTCATGCTGTGCTGATATAACACTACCCAGAGCTGTGTGTTTCAGCACCTTCTTACTTCAGGAGATGCTCCTCTGGCTTAGTCTGTGGTGGGAGGTACGCAGTGTTAACGTTTTGTTGTTTGAGACTGACATCCACACTCAACTTGGAGCTCTGAAACATGTCATGGAAACTGGGGCAAGTGCTTTTGACTTTGTTACAAACAACAAGAACATGGTTCAATACCCTGTGGATGCAAAGTCATGTGTTTTTAAACTCCATAGCTTTGCTACAGAATACGTGTTTTAAAAGCACCTCAACAGCTCCAGCATGGGTCTTGGCATAGTTTTTATTTTGCTCCTGCAGAGCAGCTAGTGATCCAGCAGAGGGAACTGGGAAACCTAATTCCAGAACCATGCTGGTACTGACGCAAAGCAGAAAACAAACACCAGATAAAACCACAATGGCTTGCAAAGAGCTGAGGGCAGTGACAAAGGGAAGAAAAATCTATTTACCAGAGTCAGAGACGACATGCTGGGCTTTAAGCAAAACTTAAACAATTTGTCCAAACTGCCTTTTTAACACTTGGGTTGAGGGTTTGCCGATTGTTAGGAGAGGTAAAACAAGGAGAAAATGCTTGTCTAAGCAGTCAAGCAAACAGCCCTTTGTAGCCAGGTGCAAATGAAAAGGGGTTCAGCCTCCACATTTAGAGAGTACTGCAAATTAGAGGCAGATTAGTAAGGTTCCACAGGTTTCCTCATAAAGGACAAAAGTGAGTCAGGTCTAGAAGAAAGTAATTCCCCAAAGGACCCCAGAAGCTTTGAAGAGGCAAAGGCTGCTCCCAGGCCCTGCTCCAAGGTCTGTAGCAACAGTTCTCCAGTTGGAGTTAAACACAGAGCATCCTTAGCCAGGGACTGTTCAGCTTTATGAGATAGAGGTTACCCTTTGCAATCCATAGAGCCTACCCAGGTCCCCACAAGTCGTTAGCAGTTTTTCTGATGAAGGATCAGTAAAAGGAAAGATCTGCGAGAGCTTAAGGAGAGTCAGACAAAAGGGAAAGCTTGAAAGCAGCACCGGCATGCAGGTAGGCTGAGAGGACCCACAGAGCTCTGTCACATACCAGGCTGTTCATACTATTTCTCTAAAACAGAGCTGATATTAAAACATAATTTAAAAAAAAATTAAGGGACACAAACCTGCTAAACTTGCTCCAAGAGTCCCCAGATCAGCAAATGGATCCAGTGTTTGGGGTTTAGACTGATGAGTGGGAGTGCTATGGAGGGATCCTGTAGGACTGGTGGCAGCTGACTTGCTTCCCACACCAAGGCCACCTTAAAGGGGAGCAAGAAAAAAAAGAAGAAAAATGAAAAAAGGGAAAAAGAAAAAACTCACTCAGTTTTTATCCCTATTTTACATGAGTGCAACTCTTACCCAGTACATGACGTTAGAAGACTGCTGTTAAAATAAAGTGTACTATTGTCAGGTTCCTGACAGTCTCAACTCAGCGTTGGCCCAGACTAGCTGCACACCCACTCACAATTAGGCTCAGCAACAAAAACGTTCCCTAGACTGTCTGAGCTGACAGAGTAATTATGACAAATGGGTGTATTTTAAGAACTAGAAGCCTTCAGGAGGCAACTTTTGGTAGGACATACATACTCCTCCAAGATTAGAAAGAATCATGTTTAGTGGCATCCCAGGAACGCATAGCACTTCCCAGGTCCTTCTCTTGGCTCTACATGGGAGTGAAACACAGCTATATATTTCCTCACTGAGCGTCTGTCCCAGTGCAGGCCCCAGTTTCTTGTGGAAGGAAATCCGGGTTTTTTAACAGAAAGAGCTTGGTAGTTTTTAGCCAGACCCTCACTTGGATGACTGGGACGCGGGGACAACAGGCAACGTAGCTGCTGCCATTGAGATGAGACTAAATAAAATCCTGATAGAAGTTTCATTGCGTTAGTCAAAGTGCTAAGGAGCAGAAAGAGTTCTCTGCAGTCACTGGCAGCATCTTCCATCTGCCTCTGCTCTCTCAGGGCTCCTCGAGTTTTTTTTTGTAAAGTGTCCTGAATTTTTGTGGTACGTACCTGGTTTGTTGGGCCACTCCCAACCACCGGAAACATCTGGTTGTATGGAAACCATTGGTGTGCTAGAAGCTAAGCAGAACAATTACATGTAAATATCTCAAACTAGTAGAGCAAAACCAACATAGTCCAATATCTAGGAAGAGCAGGGGGCAAGCAGCAGGAGAGACAGTATTATGTCCACCTACCGTTTGCTGATTCGAAGTGAACTTCTTCCCCATTATGGGTATTACAAGTGTAGCATTTGTTTCTGATCTTACACTGTGCAGGGGTAAGTGGGGAAGGATGCAGATTTACAGCATTCATTTCATGGTGGCTTTGGTCAGAGGCTTTATATACTTATTTATAAAAGCCTTACCACCAGAGTAACACATGGGGCTTAGTGTTTCTGAATACATCTCAACCCAAGGAAATGTTCTACATGCAAAGGGCAAGGATGGAGAAAACAAACACAGCAAAGCAGCCCACACAGATGTAAACTCCACAGAACACACGCAGTCCTTCTTTTAACCCTGTATCAAATAAAGCCTGTACATCTATGCAGCTCAGCCTGCCAGCAGTTCATTATCTGTAGACGCTAGCACAGTAATTTAATACCTCATCATGCTGGGATACCATTTAAATTCCTCTCATTAGCGCAGCCAGCTCCAAGTGTGACCCAACGGTCTTATTCACAGAGTTAATATCCAACACCCGAGTTTGGCAGCACAAGGATGCGAGCAGTGCCAGCAGCACACTAGTTCCCTCCTTAGTCATTTTGGCTTTCCAGCAAGACTGTTGCACCCAAGGGACACGCGTTAGATGATCAGACACAAATGAATTCGTATCTGAATGCACTTTGGAGAAGGTTACAACATTAAATTTTGGTGCAGGGGGAGAAGGGGACGACTAAAGGACATTTCAAACAAAGTAAGAGAAGATAAAAGTCCAATAAGGAAAAAAAAAATTCCTTCTCTTCAAATAAGAGTCAAATTCAACTGTAAGTTTGGCCAGGATTACTATCAGATCTAAAGAAAGCAGAAGCTTGCAACTAAAAATCACCAGAGGACCTGTGTTTTCTCTAGCAGGCTTAATACACCATGCTCTATTTAGCTCAATTAATGGTAGTTTGGTTCAAACGAGACCTCATAACCACAGGAATATGCAGGCAAACGTTCTTCATGGTCTTTTTTTTTCATGCATACAAATAGCTTATTAATTAAGACTTGAGCAAAACAAGTCTCATCCTACCACACTTCAAATTATGAATATGTTTTAAGTCTAGAGACAAAAAGCTCCTTCCTGTTTAGTGGGGCTTCTGTGGTTGAGAGCCTTTTTATGGTAAGCATCAGTTGGTACTTAATAACTTCACTGCTATTTAAAAGGAACATTTTGTGTTTACTTAAATACACTAAAAGAGCCTCACTTTCTTACCCATGTGAAAGGGATCGCTGTGCACAGTTGGTGAAGGACTTCTTGTTGCTTGAAGGAAAGGATCACCAGGGACAGCTGATGAACCAAGAAAGGAACCCAGGAGGTCTGGACCAGTTTGCTTAGGGCTACTTCCAAATGGATCAAAGGCAGTGGCTGTAAAAACATATTTGAGAAAACTAAATCATTAACTTGTACAAAGAATGTGCTGCAGGGAAAAGACACCGGTGTGTGGAGAAGAAAACCTAATACCTGGAGGCACCAAAAAGGAAACAGCATGTGACTGTGGGAGAGTGACTGGAAAATACCAGTTGCCTAGCCAAATTCCAGGGGACTTAGAGAGCCACAGGACTTGGTCACTGCAACACATTTGTTGGTCCCGTCTGTCTTTTCCAAAGAGAGGGGCTGAACTTCGGAGCAGTGGAAGGGAGTATTTAGATACTTAGACACTTTGGATGAAGTTTCAGCTTGCATGTACTGCCAACACATGAATGGATGGTGAGGGACAGCTTGGAGTTAGTGCCCTGGTGCAACTCCTGCTTCCTCTCAAGAGCTGAATGCAGTCCAGGATTATTTTAGGCTGTCAAAAGTCGTACACGTCAAGGGTAAAAGGACCATCTTTTAGAAATAGCTTTAGAAAATAATTGGTACCTTTCCTGCATAGCATCACTTGTTACAAAAATCCAGCTCATTCTCAAACTCCATTTTTGATCCGTTTAGCTTACTGTCTTCCACATAAAAAGCCAAACCCATAAAACACAACACACCAACTACTCCCCCATGAAGTCACTCAAATTCTTATTAGCCAACAAGTTTAAGGTAGAGAGCATCTCGAACAGAAATGCAATGTATACTACTGTAAGAAAGATACAATCCTGAGAAGCTATACATTGTGTTAGTTATGCTACTCATTACTTATACTACTCATTGTTTAGGATACTTCATAAATTACTAGTCTTCACTTATCTCCCAAGCACTTATTCTTGCTTTCCTGGCTTGGGACAACTTCGCTGTGCAATACCTTTCCCTTTCAAGCACCAGCCTGACCTCTGCAAAGCAGCATCACACAACTCCTGATGTTACACTGCTCGACAACACCACCCAGAAATCTTTTCCTGATGCTGTTGCTGCACCTCTGCCTTGCGAGGTTTGTGTCCGCACAACCTTCCCACCCCTGGGTGAAAGCCCTCAGACTGAGCAGACAACGGCCACAGCAAAATGAACCTTCTCCATACACAAGCGGTCCAGTTTCTTCCACTGAAACTTGTGCTCTTCTCCTCTCTCCTGTGTCCAGTCCTCAGCCTCTTCTTCCCTCCCTTCAAAAGTCTCAGTACGAGGAGATTTTAACTGCTCCAGTCCCTTTCGCTTTGAAATACCCCATAAGCAAACCTTGTCTTTGAGCATATTAGTAAGACAAACCTCCCCAAACCTGCAGGTTTTTTTTATTCTAGCTGAGAAAGCAGGACTCAAGAAGAGTCTCCAGAAACTGGCTGCATGGCCATCTTGTGGTGGGTGCTGTCAGCCCCAGCATCGCCCAAGCCTGCGCCTCCTTAACAAAATGAAAAAAAAAAAAAAGCCATTTTTTGGTACAAGCAAGTTAGCAGGCATTGCAAATACTTTAAGTTATTAGTTGCTGAGAAAAAGCGAAGTAAGCATGCTGTGCTCTTTGAATCAGGTACACGGTGACAATGTCAGCTCTTCAACTGGAACATAAAGGATTAGTCCAAACCGAACACGGGGAGGCTGCGCAGCTCAGCGCGACGCACAGGACCTGCCGTCAGATCCCACCACTTGCTCGCATTTTGCCTTTGGCAGAGCTGACCATCAGTTCCAGAGGCCCTCAATGAGTCTGATCAGCTTGGGATTGGGCTCTTCACCTGTTCACTGACAAACAGTTTTCACTTGCCCTCCTCCATGCACATCACCCTCCAAAAGATCCCTCTTTCTAATATCTATTCAATCACTCCTGCCACCCTGATCTCAATCTGTCCTTGAAGAAACAAAAGATCTTCTTGTGTTGCCTATCTAGCCTGCAGAAAGACCAGAAACAGCAGAACTGGGTAGCCATCTTTCATAGCCCAGGCTCAGTATCATAGCTCCAAACCCCCTAAAGCTAAAAGAGAAGTTCAATTCAAACTGCTACGGGTCTACTGAAAGCCTAAGATGATTTTTTTTTTTTTAATTAATAACATATTCTCCTCATATGCATTATTGGACATGTAGTATGAGCAAAACTGATGAGCTCCAGTGGCTGTCAGCACATGGAGCCAGCCAAACACTTGGGTGAGCACCAGTGGAGACTTTAGGGAACAAAACTGGAAAATCTGGTTTGTGTTCTTGACTGTGAAGATGCACCAACTCCTGTCTCAGAGCAGAGGAGCTGGCTGGCCTCTCGGGATCCCTTGCAGCTCTTAGTTTTCATGAAATGAGTGTGCCCAAGAGGAATCCAACATCCCAGAGCAGATCACCCGGGTGGGATTCTCAAAGCACGTGCCTCAAGTGACGCGCCAGGCACAGCCACTATTACCTTCTCCTACCCTTGGGGACAGGGATGGGGATGCCGAAGCTGCAGAACGCCGAGGAGTTGACTGCACAGATCCAGGTCCCCCCACATGGAAGACCTCCTCAGCAGCGGGCTGTCCACTTTGACTCTGGGAACCTGGCCCACCAACCCCAAACAAATCATTCAGCAAGTCTGAGTTAGAGGGGGCAGCAGTGGGCTGCGAGGGAAAACTCTTGCTCATAGGGCTACCATCCAGGCCCAGCAGGTCCACATCTTCAGGCGGAGGTGGTGCTGGTGGCTCTTGCTGCTTTTTGCTGTGTTTTGGTGTCCCGTGAGGCTTGTCACCACTGGCATTACTGTGCTGACTGGAAAGGGACAAGAGTTCGTCATCTGACTGTTCGCTTTCCTCATGCACCAACGCCGCTCGATCCTCTGAGGTGGGGTGAGAGCTACTTTTGTCAGATTTCTGATCTAAATGATGATTAAAAATAAAATTAGACAGCTGTTAGTTTTGTCATCACAAAGGTCCCATAAAAATCAGTTTACATGCAGAACAAAATGCTGCTGAGAATATCACAGCAGCGTTTTACTAGATTTTATAATAAGAGTCCTTTGCAAAGATGAACTTCGCTGGTCTTAATTGCAAGGAGCCAGGTTCATTGATCATGAAACAGAGACAGATGTTGGCTGACTCTCCTCAGCCCTGAAGACCCAGCAAGTGTAACGCCCACAGACACAAACTAAATGAGTTTCTAGGTCAGGACCAAGCATCCAGGATGATCTCCAGCTGTGCCTCAAAATCCAGGCGAAACAAGGCTCATTGGAAAGGAGCAGGGACATAAACCACCCTCCTCGCTGTGCCCACAAGGATTTCTGATGCTGGGCTCCTTCCTAGCACGGTGCTAATGCCCAAGGAGGAACACTGCGTTCGGCAGCGCCGTGAGATTCTCAAGATGTTCAGCACCGTTAAATAGTGTCTCAGACAAACACTCTCAGTGCTACGTTCCCAGAGTACTTTCTATAAAGTGCAACATTGGGAAAAAGCAGCTTAAATTTGGTTTTAGCATCGAGGGCAAAGCTTTACACCAGAATGATGTCAATAATAGTCATATACGGCACAAGCAGGCGATGTTTGAAGAGGACGTGGTAGGAAATTAATTGCCCACTCAGTTGCAACATAAGAGTGTGACCAGCAGTACACCGTGATCTAATGGGAAAGATGTGTTACAATCAGATCCCTCAGCCCAACTCTGTGCTCCAGGGAGGGGGAAAGAAGTCGTTTCTCTTGTTCTAAGCAGATTTTACTTTGAAGACCAAGTCTGCATACCTTGCCAGCTGAGAGATGAGAAGAATGCACTCTGTCCAACGTTCCGTATGTTATCCTGGGGTGAGTCAGTGGGGCCTCTACCTGCAGCCCGGAGCACCCAATAAATAAATAAAACCAAGTGAAACAAAGTTCAACATGCAGGTAAATGAAGTGAGCAAACCTGTGCCGCTCTTACCTGCCAAAGCCAGAGTGTCCTGATGCTCCTGATGAGAGGAGAAGAGAATGGTTGGATTGATGTCTTTCGTCGTGAAGTTCTCCCAAGGGGGAGTTAACTCAGTTTGTCTATCAGTAGACTGTATTTCTATCTCCAGTATAACGTGAAAGAGCTGAGGATATTTGTCTGGAGAGTCACAGGCATCCAGTTCAGGCCTAAATGGGGACAAGAGTTGTACAGTTGGAAAGGATATTCCTGCAAAGCTATATAAAGCCTTCCAACATATGCATGCGCACAGACTGTTCACATCTCATCTGTGAATATTCTCCTTCAGCCTTCATAAGGCTTTTGTGCTTCAGGTTTGATCAACGTTCAGCTTAAAATACTCACTTGGTGAATTTTAGGGTGGTTGTTCCCAGGGCTATGAATCCAGTATGAAATTGAATTTGGAATATTTGTGTGTTGGTCATCTGAAAAAAAAAAACCCACAGAGCACCAGACTGAGCAAGTGCTTAAATTAATGAAATTAAAATATTTAAATATTAAAATATCTATGATTTATTTATAGCACATGCACACAGTCTACCTTACTACCAGTTACTATATAGACTAATAACTGCTATATAAGCTAATTCATTCTGCTTGTTCTACAGAAAGCAGAGCTATTCCTTCTCAAACCCTAATATTTCCATCTGCCTTAAACCCTGCTGCTGCTGCCTCCACAGCGTTCGGGAACAGGTCTTCGTGCCCTGCTTGCCTTCATTTCTGGGATCTACTTGACATTTTAGCTCTTCAGTGAAACAGGTATCTCTTTCCGCGGAATGTACTGGAGAAACATGTTTGTACCCCAGGAAAAGAGAAGACCACTTCACTTGCAGCAGAGGCTTCAGTAAAGTGTCATCTATACAGCAAACAGCACCAATAACAAATGAAGCTGACAAAAACATTCACCGATCACTCTGCAACTTGAATATTAAATTTTCAAGCATTTCATCGGGAAAATTTTCAAGATCTCTGATTAAACTATCAGGGAACAGAGTGGCTGGGTGGGGAGGCAGACAGCACACCTCCAGCCCGGTGTGGAGCTGTGCTGCCCACCCAGCCATGCAGCACCCCTCTGCAAGGACCAAACGAGGTGGCACGCAGAGCGGCTGGGACAAAACTTGGTTCTTCCCTCACTTTTTGTGCTTTAAGTCACTACAATTTAAACAGGCTGTTTCACTGAGGGGCCAATTAACCCTCATCACTACAAAGGTTAATGGAGCAACTTAGTGTATGACAACCACAGATTCAGTTTTTGCAGATCCAAGTTTTCTAGGCTCAGCAGACCTCATTTCCAAATTCCTCTTCCACAATTACAGGAGCCAGAGAACAGCATTTTGCTGTCAAAGCCCAGAGGAGCATGGACCAACACATATTTTCACTTTCGGCACTGCTACTGTGTTATGGGAAGGAGACATTGGGGCATGCTCACTCCAGCACCCCTCTGTTCTCTCTCCCCAGTTTCCACTGTCTCCCATTTCTTTGATCTGCTACTATCAACAGGCTTTTTGGCTGTGAAAAGGGTGGCTGTCCAACCAGCCTGTGGCTTAAATGGTCTTTCCCATCCCCATGACTGACCAATCCACACAAATTGCCTTTTTGCTCTAATGACCAAAAAAGGTGAAGGCTCCTCTAGAGCAAGCAAAACCGACACTATGCAGGAGTGATGGCTCAGCAAGTCATTCTAATCTGAACAGAAGAAAGTCTTCTTCCATCGTCTTAAAGTGCATAGGTAGAGGCTCTGGCGATGGTTGGCCCTGAGCTGGTTTCTGATGGGGGGGTTTCTTCTACATCACCTGGAAGGATCCTACACCCCATCAGTAGACACCATCTCCATAAAGAGATACCAGAGGCATCACAGACTTCTCCAAATGCAGTTTTGTGTTTCCACTTGGCACTGCTCAGATTTGTGCAGTCAAATAATGAAACTTTCTATATCACGCGTGCCCTGTGCCTTCCTAGACCCCATATTTAGCCATCTCTTAGTTACTGTGTTTCCACTTCGCACTGCTCAGATTTGTGTTATATCTACAGTCAAATAATGAAACTTTCTATATCGCACGTGCCCTGTGCCTTCTTAGACCCCATATTTAGCCATCTCTTAGTTAGCTACATTGCCTCTACCATGCAAGAGAAGTTAAAGAAACTCCTACTTTTGCTTGAAGGCGTCCCCCGATGGTTGATCTCATGTGATAGACGGAAACAACAACATCTCCGTGGACAGTGGCTCCCAGTGGGATTAGGACTTTCCCTTCTTGCACACGGTATTCTCTTTGAGGGGAAGAGAAGGAAATCCACAGTTAAGCTCCCTTCCACAATGCCATTACCACCCACCAACAACGTCAACATAAGAGCTATCATCTCCTTCAGGCCAAGCAAATACAAGGTGCATTCAGCGCTCTGCTCAATGTTAGATTTAGTTGAAACACAAACATTTCACAGGAGAAACCAACACAGCCCTGAACTATCTGTGAAGTTATCCCACCGCACAACAACTTCAGACTCACTCCAGCAGTTTATTTCAATGCTAGGCACCAACTGTCAAATAAGTGCACTCCATCAGTGATCAGGCAGTCTGGCAATGACTGCAGCGCAGAGATCACACACGTTACAGCAAAACAAAAGCCTCCTCACGTTTAGCTGCTGGGGATGGTAGGAGATCACAGCAACTCACTTCATTCTTTCGTACTCCTGGGATGTGGTGAGGATTCTGGTTTCTCCGCTGAGGATGTCACAGAAGGGTCGGCAGCCGTTTCGTTGCTTGTTGAAACAGGGGACTGGACTGAGGGTGACCGACTTGATAGTAAGTGGCTTGCAGTGAGGAATGACAGGCTTGTCTGCTATTAGATCACAAATGTAGCCTATGTATCTGCAGACAGAGACAGCCATTACCAAAATCTCCCTCCCAGGTGACCAATTTTCATTCTGTACTTGAAGTCTACCTTGAAATCCAGTGAAAGTGCGCTTCTATCACACTTCCAGGATGGGAGTTTCCATGTACTCCAGCATCCCTGCTACTGGCACAAAAATCTACACTTCCATTTCTGTTTAATTACAAGAACGAGAGCTCAAGAGGAAGGCAGTCAGCCTTTAGCTCTGAGCTGAAGATCATTTCTCCTCGTCTTTTAGAGGAGAAGGTGCTGAGCAATGTTTTTTTCTGGTTTGCCAGTAGGAGTTTGCCTTCTATTTTACATGCACATAGCACCTGAATTACTTTGTTAGTCATGTACTGAAGAACCATTATTATTACATAGATAACACTGTATCTTGGGTTTGCTCTGACAGGCAGTTTTTCCTCTGCTTAATGGAAATGGTAAAAGAGACATTGTTAAAGTATAAAATCCCACAAGGATGAAGCTGACCTAGGGAGAGGAATTCATCCAGGCCCTATTAACTACAGGTTCGTCAGCTTTCCTGAACTAGAGAGCAAAGCTATTGGGATATTTGATTTTGTTCCTCCATTATGGCTGTACCAATGTGGGTAAAATGGCAGTGGCCATAAACATCAGTTAAGACCTGTCACAGCTAAGTGCCATGGTTAATGCATGAGTGCTGCTTGGGCAGTTTATAGTGTGAGTAATAGAGCTCGCTTGCACAGCGCTTAGCCGGTATACTCTACCTCCTGTGAGATGGCCAGAGGACAATCCCAGGTCTCTTTGTGTTCAGCAGCTGCATAGCAGGGCCTGGGTTAGAGAAGAGGTGACAGAAACAGAACATCGCGCTGACCAGAACGGCTGAGGCTGCACGGCCATCCTGTAAAGAAAGAAGCAGGAGGAGAAATATGGCTAAGTATCAGAGACATCCTTTAAATTTCAGCAGAAAGCTCCCCACTCTTCCTTAAACCACATGAAATAATTTCTCCAGAAAGACTAGGATTGAGACCGCAAGATGATGAAGAATTTCCAGTGCTGTGTCATTTGTTTAATACCTAGGACTTTGTTGAGCAGCGCTGGCCTGGATCAAAGCTAAGATAATATCCAGTAAGCAGCCAAAGCTTGGTTTAAACTTGTTTTGAAAGCTTAGAAGTACATTTTGTCTACAAATGTTGGTGTTTCATGGCTGCTCCCAAGCTGTAATATTATAATTATTTCAAACATAGCCTTGGAACTGACCACAGGGTCAGAGTACACCCGCCCCACAGCTGCAGGTAGTCCTCTAATAGAAATTTAACCTAGAAGAGAAATTTAACCCAGAAGAGTTCACAAAAAAAAAAAAATGCAGCCCAAGGCTCCCTCACCCAAACATCTCCACACCCTCAACCTACAGATTGCTCCTGAACAAGTGTATGTTTTCTGTAGGGTGATTTTGGAGGAAAGTACGTTTGCTGCGTCAGATTGATAGACCAAAAATACCAAGAGAGCAGGAGAGAATCAAAGCATCCCCAGTGCCCCAGGTCCCTGCTGTACCCAGGAACATGAGGTGATGAGCCGTATGGACCATACCCCAGCTCTGGTCAACCAAACAAAAAGAAAAACCCCTTTCATCAGCTACCAAAGTCCAGATCTGATGCCTGCTTAGTTTTGGATGCACGTTCACGGCACAGTGATGGGTACGAGAACCTGCTCAGTGTTACCAGGGTGCCATGCCACCCGGCTCATCTCCCGCTTGTCGGAGGGGACGGGAGATCCTAGAGGTCAGGACTCATTTACAAGGAAGAAGTGGGAAACCTACTGCCCCATCAGCCAGGCAGTCACCCTCAAAGTCTGAAACACAAGCTAACAGTTATACAGGCTTTCTGCAATTACTTATTTCAGGCACCTTTTAGGTGCTCCAGCCATTCTGTAGGATTTGCCATACCAGAGCTGACCCAGACCCCAGTAACCTCGATTGCACGCTCAGGCTCAGCAGGTTAACAGGCCATTTGCTTTTTTAAGGTTTATCCTCTGCCAACTGCTTCTGAAAAGATCTCAGATAACCTAAGTGGGCTTCTGCAGACTTCTTGGAAAGCGTTGAAAAGGACTCACTGTCCTTTACAGCATTATCCTGATATTCATTGCTCAAAATTTGATTCTTGAGCTAGATTTTCAGGACTGGAGGCATCAAGTGCATCTTTGTCTGTGTTTGAATGGAATTTATATCCCGTAGGCGCTGGCTGTGCTACGCAAGGCAGAAATGCCAGACTTGTATGTAATGTCTATGCAGTTTAGGATCAGTCATTTCTTCGTTCCTCCCAGTTTATGCTGGTCAGGGCTGACAGCCTCCCAGATTTAGTTTAGGCTCCAGCAGCAAATCAGAACTCTCCTTTTGGGCATTACTGTCAATAGTAAAGGTTGTATGGGGTGGGTGACAAGTTAGTCATACAGAATCACACTGCATCCCATCTGCACGTTGCCCAGTACTGAATAACTCTTAGCAGGGATTTAGCAACCATGCCAGATGTGTTTCACAGAGAAGCAGAAGGCAACTGGACTTCTTCAGCCCAGCCTGACAAGTAGCGACCACAAGAGACTTTTACAATCTCAGTTTCATAGTTCAACAGCTTTCCCAACTACGGGTTCTCTCCCCAACGTCCATCAGTAACCTTCAGTCTTGAGGCTGTGTTTTGCCCTGCAACTTCTTATGACAAGATGTAAAGCCATAACAGGCTGACAACTCTTACAGTTGGTTCTCAGGTGAAGTTCAAATGCTTTTGCTACTCATCACCTCTAGTAGTTCACTGCTAGAACAATTGTGACCTCTCTTGATTTGCATTCCTGTTTTTATTCAGTCTTAGGTCTTCCAGCTTAGCAACATAGCTGCACACGGAAGATGACGTCCCTTTCTATGGTGTCCATTTTATTACATTCCTTTTTCTTTTATAAAATGTCACTCTCCTTGCGCACAGACTCTAGACACGCAACGTACAATATGACTTATGACTCTAGGCCTAAAAATCTGGTTACTTTCTGGTGTACTTACCATGCAGTGGATGACACACACGTTTTTGGGGTTCTGCTGTAGCCAGTTGTGCATGTTCTTACAGACGGCGTAGAGGTTGTGCAGACTGGGCGCTTGTCGTACCGGCCAGCTACATTCGGATACCTGCAGGAATCGCACGATGAACAAAAGCCAGCTTCATAAGAGCATTAAGCAAGGTGTGCTTTTACAAATGCTTTCTGCCAAGAAACATACTTCTCTCTCACAACCTCTTAATGTGCTTGAAACCTACTCCATCTCTTCTCATGCATAATTCTGCTCTGCGGCTTGCATGAATTATGAGGAGACAAACAAAAAAGAATTCTCAAGTATATAACATAATATTGATGTATTGTCACTGACTATACATTTTTTTTAAAGTTACATTCCAAGTCAGATTATCTTGAGTGGCCTTTCGTAACAGTCCATTCTTGCAGCAGAGCATTGATTTCTGCTATGTCAAGAGCCTTTGCACAACCTGTCCCTAAAAACCACAGCTCTGATTTTCAAAGGACACTGAGCATCTGTTGCTCTCAGTCATTTTGTGCCGTAGGATTTTCAAGCCCTATTTGACAGATATTAGACTGATGAAAGGAAAATTCCTGTTAAAAAAAATAACCCTATCTGAGTAAGTATAGTTAAGAAGTGGGCCAGAAAAATTAATGACTTCTTGGAGCTGGAAAACCACAAATCCTAAAGTATGTCAGTTACTATTCAGCAACGTACTAGTTCTGAGTCATAACACTTATCTCAGGAGGAGTCTTTGCAGTCTCAAACAGCATATCAAATAGCCATCTACAGACACCTCCGTTTCATCTGGGTTTAATTGAAATACCTGTTTTAAAAGGCATTTCTGGCTATAAGAAATTCAAAGGAGAAATGTCATGAGGCTTGTCCTCAGAAAAAGAATTGGTTCTCTCTCTCGGCTGACGTTTGGAACCTGCTTAATGAGAACCAGGGGCAGGAAGGAGATGGTTTGCCCAGACGTTCTTAAATAGCCATATGATTTCCATACCTGAACAGGTCATCTCTCAGAGGAAGGAAGCACTCCAGGTTTCATAAAACCTGTATTTAAGGCTCTCTCTAACATACACCTGCACAACATCTTATAGCAGAAACGGGAATCCCGACTCAAACCAGAGAGCTGCCCAGCTGTGTTTTGTCTCAAACAGCTCCGGTGACAGAGGACATGGGGACAGAGCAAGCCAGCAGCACTGCCTACCCCAGCACATCTGTCCCACTGCCTTGCTGAGCTGGGTCTGGTTAACATCTGGGAGATTTTTGCCTAATCTAATATTTAATTAGATATTTGTCTAATCGCTTTTTAGACTCATGGAAGTTTTTGGTCTCCACGATGTCCTGAAATTCAGCTGTGCCCTTGGTGAGCACGTGCAGGTTTGCATTGCAGAAGCTATCCAACAAGTCAATCTATGCTCAAGCTTTGGAAGGCAGCGAACGACCATTTTCTATTTACCCTGTTATCCTCATCCCTCGTCTTCTCCTGTCTCGAGAGCTGTAGTCTCTCTCATTGCTCCTGTTATATACACTTGATTTTCCTTTGCCTCTACCTTCGCTGTGCATTTTCAGGCAGGGCTGAGGGGGCACAGGACACCGGCAGGAACCGCCAGCATCAACTTTCTGTTCCGCAGACCTGGCATGGTACACACTGCTGCAGTAATGGGATCACTGTAAAATCTGAATTATGGCATGATCATAAACATTTATTCAATTCTTTAATAGAGCCTGAGTACTGATGCCATAAATGACATATTACCAATTATTTTATACTATCACGCCAATTATTTTAATATTTTATATCAAGCAAAGTCTTCTCCGCCCAACCTCAAATAGTTTTGCACCAGGCTTATGGAGGCACAAGATCCACTTGCAACTGGACCACTAAAACAGAATTCAGACTCCAAGTGGCTGTTAAAATTAATATGACCAGTGACCCTTTCCCTGACAAGAACAGATCTTGTGACAATACACTGTCAAGCATCTGGAAAAGCCATTATCAGCTATCAAGTAAATAACATACGTTTCCCAGCAGTCCATAATTATATATTTACTTTGCCTATAATTACACATCAGCCTGCTGGTTCACAATTAGGAAATTAAATACACACTATGCAGCATTTCATTTATTTCAAACATAACCTCACCACCACCACTCATGAAAGACAACCTCATAGAAGAGTAACAGGAATTTTTCCAGAGTGTTGGAAATAAGCAGCCAGCGCTTGTTTTACTTTAGCAATAGGGCGGCAACAGCCAAGAACGTGACCCATCGGGGACTTTGAAGTTGGGTTTTGTTTGACGTTATACTTGAGTTACATGTTTTCAAACTGCTCCCACTTCCTCGAGCAGCTGTGAGCTCTCCTCTCCTGCTGGCACAGCGAGGCAGGGAGGGGAACAGAGCACAGCCAGGTTTGAGGGGCAGGTTTTAGTGTTCGTAGGGCCCTTTTCTCCCCAACCAACTGGGCACTTGGGGCTTCGTGCCCCGCACAGCCACACCAGGGCAAGACAACAGCCCAGCAGGACTAACTGTCACCTCCCTCCTGTGCCACCATGCAGCAAAGTGACCTACTTTGATCTCAGGGGAAAAAAAAAGTTTTAAAGAAGATAGGAATTCAAAAGCCTTTCACTTCAAAGAAGATGTGTGTGTGTCTACTTCAGCTCATTGGGCATCCTCATCCAATGCAGAAAATACTCTTAACGTGATTTCATCTCCTCGATAGGCCATTAGTACTTTTTCCAATATGTATGAAGTTCAACCTCATATTATAATTATTTCATGTTTCATCTGATCTCTCCTGTTCTGCACATTTCATTTTCCTGAACAGTACTTGGAGTCTGTATTTCCTAGCCCATAACCTGAAAGTACACTATTTTAATAAAAGGTGCACCATTTTCTTCCTCTGTGTGTCAAGGCAATAGTTTACAAAGCACCTAGTCATGCCTCAAGAGCAACACACACTCATCTGTGAAGCCGCTGGATAAGGTAGGAGATAAAGTACCAGGGATGGAGGAGTTATGGCCAGGTCAAGCAATATACCAACAGATGTTTAATGCTGGGCCTTCAAAAGTAGATCTGTCTTTCTCCTCCCACCAACAGCAACAGCGATGCACCACAACCAAGAGAGACTGAAGATTCAGAGCCCTGGATATCTTTTAATTAGTCTTTCCCGTTCATTTACTCATCTTTGAAGTCATGGCCGGTTACTGATTGCCACAGAGATTTGCTTCACGTGTGAGTGAGTGATTTCTGGTGATCAGAGCCACTGCTGAAGACAGATTCAGCTCTACCTCAAATTAAAATGAAATGAGGCATATGCAGCAGGAGAGTCGCTTACCCTGACTGAGGGTTAAGCCTGGTGACTGCTGTTGCCCTTTTCAACAAAAGCAATGAAAAATAAGAAATTTTAAAAAGAAAAAAGTCATCACTCCCTTGTGGGAGAGGGAAAGACAAGAAGTTTTCTCAAAGATTAGATCTAATCTTGCATTTCAACAGCAGTATTTCATAAACGTTTCCTCTAGAAGCCACTCCTGAAGCAGAGCCTTGCAAAGCTGCTGTATGCTGTTCTGGTTTCAGAGAAGGAAACCAGGGCAGGGAGTGGAGGTGGGTTTTTAAAGCCATACGCTAGTGGCAGAGCCAAAATGCCCCTTAGATCCAGTTTCCAGTCCTGTGCTAAGTCCCTGCTAAGGGCTCTGGCTTGATTAAAGCAAAACTAAAGGACTGTACAACACGAAAATAATCTACATTTTATTGGTAATTTCTTTCAAAGTGCTTTTATTTTACTTCTTATTTCTCTGCAGCAGCTTCCAACAGCTCTGTAGGAGCCAAACGCAGCACAGGCTCAACTTCTTGCAATGCCACTTGCTCTCACAGGTTCCCAACACAAGCGTTAATGCCCTGAACTGCCCAGCTCTCTAACCCCTGGTGCCAGGCATCAGCTAAAACCCAGAAACGACCACAGCAGCTTAGAAACACCTATAATTCCTTTTCCATTTACATTCTGCCACGATCAGGATAGACAGGAATGACCTGGTGCCCCTTTTCCCAAGAAGTTTCCCCCCCAGCTCTTGTTAACCTCTCGGAAGACACTCACCCGGTTGTGAAACTTGGCACTGCGATAATACTTGGGTGACAAGTTGAAGACCGTGTAGTGGTCAGGATGCCTGGAATCCAAAAAAGTCCGTACATCTTCAATGTGGTTCCTGAATCCCAGTTCAACGCCTTCAGCCGGAAAAGACATCACTAGAAATGTAAGAAGAAGCCAGGCTTAGCGTGGACCAGAACGTGCTTCTGGATTTCTGAACCCTGGGACACAACAAGTTTCGTTTATCTGATAAGCAGTACTTACCTATGATTCTGGAGGTAATGTATGAAATATCTAGCTCCCCCTTGGTGTAACTAAAAGAAGACAAAGTAGAAGACAGACATTATGCACACGCTTACAGAGGACAGCACATTAGAGAAACCAGAAGAGCATTTTCCCCACAAAGATCCGCTTATGACACAATGAAAGAGCGACCTTAAAACTGATTCGTTGTCGTTATGCCTTAAGCAAATAGCTGCCTGCAGACAGAGACCCAGCCTTCCAATCTACATACACAATTAACTGGATGCAGAAGCTTGCAAAAAAGGTCCCTTTTCCCTTTTGTCATTAATTTTCAGTGCCAGTTTTCAGGAGAAATCTCCGGAAGTTTGCCATTTTGCAGATCCCTTAAAAGCCTCTGAGGTATTACACACATTAAGTTTCTTTAATTTGTCATAGCCTCCTGTCCCTCAGAGGCAGGTAGAGTGCCAAGCACAGGGGACAACCCCAGCAGAGGTAACCAAAGCAAAGTCACCTCAGCTCTTTCTTCAACTCCAAAGGTGGCTTTAGTGAATGGAACGGTTATGTCAGCTAGCACAGTCTCCTTGCACAGCAAAGAGAAGGCATGGGCCAATTTTCACTGACAAAAATATTCAAGTGGTGGCTGAGCAGAAGGACCCCACCGGGGCCGGTGAAGGAACCGGAGACCAAGGGCTCTGTTTTCCCTGGGCGATCCCTTTTCCACATTCCAAGATGTTGATGCTCACTTACTACGAAGCTTAGATTTTTTTTACTTTGGTTTTCTGGCTTCCTTGAAGCCAAATACCAATTATGAGACAGAATCAAAAGAAGTCACTGGTGATTTTCACCTCCTTCCTTTGTTAACTAGCACAGCACAACTTCCAGCTAAGACGGCAGCTCAGAGTGGCACTTCACCTCTAGTGGTTTTACCTGCATTAGGCAGCTTCAGCTGTACTGTACCTGGCAACAGACTGCATGACCTTTGAAGACGTATCTTTCAGGGTATCCTTCAGGTTATCCTTCAAATTGCTGAAGAGTCTCCCTGCTCCTCCTTTCACCATATCTAGCAAGCCTCCCCCATAGCTGGACTCCATGTCTGGTGATGAGGCACCTTCAAGTACAACAAAACCAAAGCCAATATCACTTATTTGGAGGAAATCCACGGAGCCAACAAACCCACTGCTCTGTTTGGACCAAACATATTCACATGTGCTGCTGCGTGTCAAGCATAGGGCGAAAGTAGTTTTGAAGTCATGATTTCCCAGAGATGAGAGAGCACGTTCTTGCCGGCTGGGCTCAGAAAGCGTCATTGACCCCCGCCATCGTACGTAGGTTGACTGTTCAGTATCAGTACAGTGTAGATAATTGCCGTACAAGCTCCCTCACCTCTCACCCCAACCCAAAGCAAGACCAGCCCTTCAGCCTGCAGCTAATTTGCTGGTCATAGTCAAGACCAAATCAACCACCACCTCCCCAGGGATCAGAAAAAGGCACTATTATATACGACAGCTCTTCGGCCTAACTGTCACAGCCATCTAGCCAGTTTGACTGCAGCTAGGTGACCGAAGATTGGCTCTTGACTATCCATTTCTACAGATATAGGAGAAGTCAGAGTGATTAAGCCACTGAAGAGTCCAGTTCAATTTGCTTGAGTGGAAGAAGATAAAAGTTTGGGTTTTGGCGAGAAAAGAAGAAAGTTCAGGAATTAAACTTCCCAGCTGAGAACGAGAACCTTTTTGGATATCTGCACGTTCACAGCCTTAGTACAGGACTTGGAAAATTGCTAAGGCAGAGCAGGGCTGACCTCCTCGGTAAGCTTTTCCTCCACAGCCTGAAAAAGCAAAGCTGCAAAGCCAGTAGGGACTAAGAGCAAGAGCCATTTAAAGTGATATTTTTATGGACGGCAATACAGCCTTACACCAAGTATTTGCATTTAGCAATGAGAATAGAATAGCTATTCCACTGTCTTAACCAAGACCCAACTTGTTGCAGCCTTCCTTATTACATTCATTCCCAGACAAGTATAATAAATTGACTAAATGTGAGTTTGTGCTGTTGCAGAACTGAGTTGTTAGACACAAACCTAGAAAAATGATATTTTAACTGCTTATTAGCTACAGATTAAGGTCTTCACTACTTAAATTGCTTTCTGTTCACTAGGCCCAAAGTATTTTGATCTTAGCAAACTACTTTTCTGTAATTATATGTTTGTTACCTCATTATGTCAGGTTAGTCAGAAGACCTAGATCTCCTAGCACAGCAAATTAAGCAGCAACCAACCTGTGTAAATGCACGTCACACTCTTCGGCAGTCTCTTCATCGAGATGGCATCCACTAAGAGTTGCCTTTCCCAGAGCACCCCGACCATCTGAGAACATTTGTCCTGCTGCAGAGCCACGTGACGCTGCTTTGTAAAACGAACGTGCTGGTCAGTATTAATTACTCCAGCACCCAGAAATGGGGAAGATTTACCATGGTTAAGGCAGGCTGGAGGCATTGCCAGTGCTCATTACATATTTTACAAAGAGATCTTACAGCTATCACTTCCCTGGTTCTATGGCACGTCCATGAGTGGTGTCAGACACACGCTACCAAAATATTGCTCACATAATCAGCATTACCAGAAGAAATATTCTGCAGGCATTCAGACTATTAAGAAACATTAAAAAAACTACATCTAAAAAATCTGCTACTGATTTACTCTGTAGATTACCAGACCCATTTAAATGGCATTCACTCTTTCAAACACGGAGTGAGCTATCAATAAATATAATATATACCTTTAAATGGGAGACTCCGTTGGTAAAATGATGCTATTTATTCCCCTATGTACAGAGGGTGCTTAATGCACTCTGATGTGGTTACGATCCACAGGCACATGATCCATGTGCTAGACCAGTAAATTTAGAGGCCATCTCTTCTCATCTGCACTCTGCCAGCTTCAGAAGAGAGGATGCCTTCTCAAGGCATGGGAATATTTCTTTTGCCAAACCACTTGCAAGTATCTACTTCAAGTATAATTAAAAAAAAAGAAAAAAAAAATCAAAGTAGCTCATTGGCCCCTCCAAGTATGGAATCTGTTTGATCTCTCTTCAAAAACTTTGCTTTCATATGACTATGCTAGGGATGGAAGGAGGAGGTCATGTTCAAAAGGTACTTGCAGTGGACCAACGGTACTGGACAAATTTGTATGGTTGGAAACGCTGTAGAAGAGCAACAGAAAGGCTTGGAGTGTATGGAAAGCCTAGAATCTTTAGAAATCAGCCTTAAGAAACAAAAAAAAAAGAGGAGGAGAAAGAGAAAATGAGAATTTCACTATATTTGTAAAAAAATCAGCAGCAATTAATTCCAAATTTACTACGTACACTAAAACAGAAACAGAAAGGATGGCTAATGAGGAAATGCAAGCTGGTGCTACTTAAGAAAGAGCACAAAACCAGTATTTAAGATTTAACATGAGACAAGCATTACTTAGCTATTGTGAAGCTACTGAGGAAGCTTACAACGTAGCAGCACTTGGTACTACACCAGCTGCAGTAATTTGCTGGAGTATCTTTTAGTCACTGGGCGAAAGCAGCATCCTCAGTGCTGACAGTGTCTCTCGGTTACTAGGAATGATACAGGCTTCACAAACTCTTCACAGAAGAACAAAATGAATACATTCAAAGGCTCCTCTGCTAGGCAGCACCTCCTACAAAGCATAAAGGCGTATAAAGGAGCAGAAAGGGTTAATGCATGAGCACACAGACCTGACAATATACACAGAAACCCACAAGAACAGCCAAAAAAACATTTGATAAAAAAAAAACCAAACATAGCCTCCCTCTGCATTTGTTACCGAATAAAACATTTCTGTGCTAAGTCCCTCTTGTACATGGAGAACTTCAGAGCTACTGGAGACCTTTCCAAAGGACGGCTGTGGTTCCCTGGGCCACGTGCAACAGCTGCTGGAATGGGGCACCGGGATGGGGGGGACTGAGCCCCATGTCCCACGTGTTTCCAGGTGGAAATTAGCCACCTGGCTGGGCATCACCTACCACTGCCATTGCACATCCCTAAGCCATGCTCGGAGACAGCCGTCTTCAGACATTCCCTCTCACTGAGCATAGAAGACCCTAGAAAAGAGCTGTTGAGTTTTCCCTCAAGCACTCCAGCCGGTCTGCAGTGGACCATGACCTATACTGTCGTAGAAGAAGGACTAAGGACACTCGCTGAGTCTGACTCTGCCTGGACAAGGTCCTGTGCAGCCTGCTCTGGGTGACCCTGCTTGGGTAGGGGGTTGGACTGGGTGACCCACAGAGGGCCCTTCCAACCCCTCCCGTGCTGGGATGAGCCCAGCATTGCTCCCTCTCAGATCCCGGCAGGAAGGAGGTTCAGGTTTCACTGTGCAGAGAAGGAGATCACCAGTAGCTTGGTTAGGATATTGAGTTAGCAGCGTAACAGCATTTCCCACTCAGAAAGATCTTCCTACCAGAGTTGGGTGGTAAACCCAGAAGAGAGAAACAGTTCTCTCTCTTAGCGCAAAGGCAAAAGGCACATTTTGTATTAAAATGAAGTGCCCGAGGAACATTACAGCCCCTTCCTCCCTCCATCCCATGAGGAACTGCATCCCACCCGCGCATTTACTTACACTGCAGCCAAAGCCAAAATGAACACTCGCAGACCCCACGCAAGCCCCAGAAGCATCTTCTGGTATGGCAGAAATGGGAGCACGCAAGCCTGTCTGCATAGAAATAGTTTGCTGCAAGTGAGGAATGCAGGAGCCTGCCATGTGGCTCGGATCCCAGCTTTCGGCATGTCGTGACATAGCAATGTAACGTTGACCATGGGCTGGAGATTCTGTCTCTAAGTGTCATTATGGAGAATTAGTCTCTGTGTATACGAGATGCCCATTGTTCCTTACGTGGCCAGAACTCTTTATTAACCCAGTTACTGGATATTCCCTGGAAGGCTCAGTGAGCTTCAGAGACACGCTTCTGACCTGTATTTGTAGCACAGGTTTCAGAGGGATCACTTGCTAACGGCAGCCTTTCTATTTCCTAATAAAGGAACTTTTAATGTAGTGGTTTTGCTGCTGTGCGTGCGCTGCAGAGCGTGCCCGAGATGCATGGGATGGCTCTTCTTGAATAGCTCTGTTCGGTGACGGCAACGAGGATCTCCTCACTGAAGTGCTTGAAGTCAATGGGGTGGCGTGGAAAAGAGACAACTTCATCCATTCGGTTGACAAGGTGAAGTCTGTGTTTGTTCTGGCTGAAGATACTTGCTCTGAGCTAACGCCTGCTCTGAGACAAGACTGCTCTGCCTGCAGAATAAACCTCCAACAATCACCAAGTACAGCAAAAGCCTCCTGCACCTCCTTACAAAACTAAAACATACAGTAACGTTCCTATCCTATGATCATCAGCCAAAGGGTGGGATTTCTCTGGACAGATTACAACTGAAGGAGCCTCTGCTGACAGCACCAGCCTTGTGCTGTACAGGATGGGAGCTGGAGAGCATCAAAATCTTAATTAAAGTACTTCAGCTCTCTTCTTGCTCTCTAACTAATTTTACAGAGTATCAGGAGAAGGATGTGCAGCGCAAAAGAACTTCTCTGAAGGCAGAGAGACTCTCGAGACACCGCAGCAAACACTGCATCCCTATAGACACATCCCACCGCAGCAGTGCACAGCTTGGAGGAGAGCACTGGGATGACCAGGGAAGCTCCAAAGGATGCACTCCTGTACAGGAATGGCTGAGCATGGCTGCTCCGTCTGCTGTCCCACCGTGACCTGCTCACCAAGAGCACTGGAGTTACACCAGAGCGATGTGAAGTGCTTTAGCAGGACAGCTTTGGGATGCTAGGAGCTTGCAGAGAAACTGGTACTCATCAACTGGTAGTCTCTACAACTACCTGACAGAAGGTTGTAGTGAGGTGGGTGTTGGTCTCTTCTCCCAAGTAACTAGCGATAGGACCAAAGTAAATGGCCTCAAGTTGCATCAGGGGAGGTTCACACTGGATATCAAGAAAAATTTCTTCACTGAAAGAGTGGTCAGGCATTGAACCAGGCTGCCCAGGGCAGTGGGGGAGTCCCCATCCCTGGAGGGGTTCAGAAAACGTGTG